TTGCAGCTAATGTAAAAAACTTATTATATTAGCTAATTGCTTCTTCTTTGTCACTAAAAGTAGCATAGACCTTCTGTTTATTTTCATTGCACAAAATGTCTATGAAGTAATTAAATGGGAAGTAATCGTATCGTGCCTATCTCGTGGAAACACAGTATTCGCGATCGTTCAATGTTTCAACCGTTCGTTTTCAATAACCAGCGTCACGTTTTTGTAATTCGATTCTGCGTTCACGAGCGGACGTACGTCTTTATTATTTGTATTCTGTACACGGCAAGTATCTACAAAGTGCGTCACGTCGGCTGTTAGGTAACGATCAGCCGGATGCATGCAGATCATTAGACAAAAAAACGATCATATCTCAGACAATAGAGCACTCGGCGACCGAAAGTGATAGTCTAATAGATATTAAATCGAGATGACGATCGAAAAGATCATAGTCCGTTCCAGGTAACTTGGTGTGGTATTGACTTCTTAGTAGTTTTAAATTATTATTTTCCTCAATTTTTTTTTGGTGTGTAACTAATTTGTGCACGATTTTCTACACGAGTAAATGTCAATAATTGGAGAGTAGTATCTGAAATATGTTCATTTCAAGGCATACGTAATTCAACAGATTTTAGATTTATACTGAAATTCCGAAAAATGTGAAATATTGTTCAGAATGTATGTACTTATATAAGTTACTATTTTGCCTAGCAAACGAAAATCTGAATGCTTTATTTAATTGGGAGGAAGCGGCAATCATTTTACAAACCCTCAAAGAGAGTAGCGAGATTAACGCAAGACTAATTGCTGCAGCTACAAAAAAAGTGGAAAGATACCTAAATATATAATTTGTCATGTGGTAAATAAATAGTTTTGGTTCTCTTTTGGATTGAATACGTTAGAAGCGGATAAGAACTAACAAATCTATTCAGACGTTCCGTTAGAAAATAATGCTGAATGACTGGCATATAAACAAGGAAATGTTTGTCGTATGACAGTAAATTATAGGGGAAGCACAGAGGCCGACATAAACCTATGAATAGTGAAATATAACAAAACGTAAACATTGTCAAAATTGTGTCTGCTTGTAACAAATCGAATTATCGGATGGGAATTCATATAGGGGAAATACGTCTTATTTATTGATTATTTGTTTGAATTTAAGCTGTTTCTTTAACATTAAGGCTTAATATTAACATTAAGCCGTGGCATGAGTTCATCTGTTCATTTACACCAGCAAAAACAATTCCACCAGAAACACGATACATGTTAGGCAGTAGGCAGGGGCTTGCCTCTGCCCCTGGCATTGCTTAAGTCCATGGGCGACGGTAACCAGACACCATCAGGTGTGCCATATGCTCGTCTGCGTACAAGGGCAATAGAATAAGCATAAATATTATTTAATTTCTTCATTATCTTTCTATGGAAAATATTAAGTTATAAATCGTACTCCCCCTACAGTGGATACTCCTTACAGCACAAAATATTTTTGTAAAAATTTAATTGGAACATATGAACGATGTAATTTCGATATTATTATATACTTTTCTCAGTGCCATAAGTAAATAATAAAATAGATTCAAAGTTATATCTGTACAGTTTTTTATAGTATTAAGGGACTTAGGTGTATCTACCCTGTAGTATATCCATTTTAGGAATTTGAATAGTAAACCTGCGGCAACGTTCTGCGGTTGTTTGACAAATGAAGTTGTAACGTTTGTGTGAAATTCGCGTCTGCTACTGTCTACCTCAGACACGACATGTCATGTGTGTGTATATAACGCACTTCGTTAGTCATAAGGAAGCCAGCAACAAACTACTAGAAACTCAGAGCTACTATGTAATATCGGTTTCGCGAATGACATATAATCACGGATGTTAGGTACGATTGTTACTTGTGAATGCAGGAAATGTTCGTAATAAAAATTTCGGAACAGCATTATCAATACCAAGGATCCACTCGTTGATTATGAACATCAGTCGCGTAAGGGGCTGAGTTAGGCGATACAGAAGCTTCGAGAAGGGAGGTAAATATTTCGGGAACTCGGTAACCTAGGTGATATCTTGAAACGATCTGTGAACGAGCAAAGGTCTTTCGGTATTCCCTCAAGCCCCATTTTATGCGTGAGAACAGAATTGTCGATAATCTTTCGAAGTTTGTCTGTTTGTCTTGTGTTTTATCAAAAAGTTTGTGGTTGTGAAAGTAGCTAGCATTTAGGGAAACCCGAAGACAAAGATATGAGCAGTTCTTTACTCTTTTTTTTTTATTGCTTAGATGGGTGGACGAGCTCACAGCCCACCTGGTGTTAAGTGGTTAACTGGAGCCCATAGACATCCACAACGTAAATGCGCCACCCACCTTGAGATATAAGTTCTAAGGTATAGTTACAACGGCTGCCCCACCCTTCAAACCGAAACGCATAACTGCTTCGCGGCAGAAACGGGCAGGGCGGTGGTACCCACCCGCGCGGTCTCACAAGAGGTCCTACCACCAGTAAACTCAGAGTTCAACCTTAATTTTTTAGAGCACAAATTTTGAACCAGTGTGCTTAGTGCGAGTTTTTTAACGTTTTCGATAACGTAAAAGTTACCTGAAATTTGTATGCAGCTGGAACAGTGCCCCTAGCGGCAAACATAGGCAAACGTTTCAACAAACACAGGTCTGAAGTAGCATTTCGTTTTATTGAAGTCTCTCAACATTATGAATATTATTTTTTTGTCTCCCCAGATACTTGAGCTCTCGATGTATTCACGACCCGAATCCCAATTCTTTTGGGAAGTTTGCAGGGATACCCTTAAAGTTGCGGACGGACCAAACAAATTACCCAATAATAACTAAGTTTCTTGGTATGGTAATCGATTTGCACGCATTAAACAGTCAACGGTGAGCTGGCCGTAATTTACAACTATAAACAGGTAATCGGCGTCACTGACCTACAGTAAACATTACGCCACCGTCCAAGGTCATTGGCCTTGATATGTTATAAGCGTATCGTGTTCAAGACCAGAGATTACAACTAGATAACTCAAACGTGGGCGGAGTAATATGGAAACGCAGTGATTGACAGCGGCGGAATTCAATTTTCATTTATAGCTCCATTTGGTTTTATGTGCTTTCGAATCGATACTGCGGTAGAAGAGGTCAATATGCTACTGGATTTATCTCGTGGAATGCTTTGTTTTGCTATACTTGAAAATCGATCTATAAATTTGCGTAATTACTGGTGGTAGGACGTCTTGTGAGTCCGCAAGGGGAAGTACCACCACCCTACCTATTTCTGTCGTGAAGCAGTAATGCGTTTCGGTTTGAAGGGCGGGGCAGCCGTGGTACTGTTAAAAATGAGACTTTACAACTCATGTCTCAAGGTGGGTGGCCGCAGTTACATTGTATATGTCTATGGGCTCCGGTAACCACTTAACATCAGGTGGGTCGTGAGCTCGTTCACCCGTCTAAGAAATAGAAAAAAAAAACAGAAAAAAAATATATCGAATATAATCAATGTCTAAGATATCATTTAAATAAAATATCTAAGCTTTACTTTCTCAGTATTGCTTTTAATGCTATCGAAAAACAAAAAGCAAAATTAACACAGCCTTGAACTATGGGGCTTATTGCTAAGCCAACAACATGAACATGGTCGAAACAAAAGGCCCGATAAACGATCGCGAGTCCTGTGGAGAACATTAATACAAAAACATAAGCCATTTACATACGGGCCTCCAGATGAATCGCCCTGATAGCAAACATCAACAATTTAAGTAAAATAAATGGTACTCTTAATGCTGTAGGCGTGCCCCCACCCGGAAGGTATAAATGAGACAAAGATACGCTATCTCAATTTGGAGGCAAAGTTATTGTGTTTCAGTAAAATAAAATAAATTATAAGTCAGAGAAAGACAAAGGCTTTCTTTAATGAAGTTGATTAGGTTCACTGCGGTATGCAGAGGTATTGAACAATATAGAACCTAAGCGTTAAGAAAATCAGTGCCATCTTGTCAACTTCTTTTACGACTGTGCCACTCGTCGCCAAACATTACTACCTACTACCTAGAACCGATGCGATCGTCTACAACATCTTGAGAATTTTCGACCAAGTACTCGTATCGAGTGTTGAGACTATACCGATATGCGAATGGCGCACGCAGGTTTTTTTAGTGTTTTAAAACCAATTTTTAGAAGAACACTTGGCCAATACTGCCATGATAAAATAATAATATTGGGTGATAAAAAATAAAAACGTAAAAAATTTACTTTGTCATCTACAGGTGGAAGTAGGACATTACCAACGTAATCTATTTTTTCTATATTTTTTCCCGTAAAGAAGTCACTCGTCACGTTTTAAAGGAACAATCGTTATACTAAACAACTGAGAATTAGACTTCAGGTCTCCAAGTAAAAATATTACAATAAGGCTCTAAAATAAACTAAAAGACTTTTTAGTTGCTTTGTTTCATTCATGTGCCGAAAATTTTGTGGTGCACTTGCGTATTACACCATCCACGTTGAGATATTTAATTCAAAAAATCATAATAGCCTTCATTCAGTCCCATTATCAGTCAGATATGTGTGGCCCAGTCTATTTACGTCGTCAAGAGGCAGTTATGTGTTTCGTGAGAGTATGACTGAATTAATTGAGATTAGCATTTTGTGGTTTTCATGGGCTCTAGTGACCAATATAAGCGACCTTTAAGCGATTTTGCGTATCTTAGCTGAGATATAAGCTAAGGGACGGTATGTTGGCCGTGATTATAACAGTTTACATTAGTTGATCGTATATTTTTATTAAAGGAACACATGTAAACAACCTTTGTAATACTCTTCACTTACTCTTTTGATTTAAAGTAAATAAATTATTTATTACAAAACGTTGACCTTAGGAGACGTCTGGCTCGGTCTTTATAGTTGCAGTTCAATAGTAACTTGTTGCAAAGTACACACGATAGGGCGATCCCGCACATGCGCAGTAATCAACATTGATTTTTCTCACTTTGACAGTTCGACTCATGTTTTGGGCCGTAGCTCGCGTACCAACAAGAAAGTAAACAAAAAAAATGGCTTTAGATTTTTCCGCTACGTATAAACTGTTGGTCTTAGGTGATTCTAACGTAGGTAAAACGTGTATAGTTCACAGGTACTGTGACGAGAGGTATTATGATATTTACATATCCACAATAGGTAAGTGGAAATATTTACTTTTAGTTTTACGAGCCTTTGTTAGACAAAAGCAGTTTTATTACTGTTCCGGAACATAACGAATCCAGAATTATGGTTTATACTGCCTACGTACAGTACAGGGCAACTGAACGTGTAAAATCCATTTTAAAAAGTAATATAATGAAAAATCATTAACAGTAGTAGTAAAATTACAAATTATTTATATTTTCTGTAACTACAACGGCCAATGCTGTTGCCGTACTCAATAGTAGTAATTATATTAGACAGAAATTACTTTAACTTCCGCGGTGTTTCGATTTCAAAAACATCGAGAAAGAATCAGCTGGTTCTATTTATGACGAATTTAAAAATTGATTTGCGTTTAAAAATCGATATAATACTTAGATGCAAAGGTCTATTTTGAACCCTAGACATGGTTGTAAATGTTTCAGGAGGTTTGTCTCAATGTGTCTGTTACATTTTGATTAGATTAGATCTTTACGTGTATTTTAGGCATGCGTCATTGCACTCAAATCACAAATATTGAATGCTTCGATTTGTCTTCGTCTGTATTGTTTAAGTCTGTGTATTATGGATCAATTACATGTTTGTTATTAATGACGGAATAAAAGTGCCGATTTGGTATCCGATATTCAAAAATAGGTATATCTAAATTTGGAACGAGTGCGCATAGAAATTGCAGGAGCATTTGTCTAATATTAGCTAATATTTGTTTCATGAACGAACTAGCCTTTAAGAATTGGTTCAGCTATTGTGAAGATTAGCACACATAGATTCAAAAGCAAACAATAATAAAAATGTATCTGATAGTCTGCTTAGTCACTCGTTTCAATCATACACTATTTATGAGACTAAAATATGTAAAAACCACATTAATCCAATAAGAATTGTGTAATTAAATATATTATGTAGCTTATTAATGTATAATCTAGAACTGATTTTTTAATATATACGACACACGAAGAAAGTTTCTAAATTCAATTGGATTTTTTGTAGGTCTGTTTTTTTCATATATGAAATACTAGCGACCCGCCCTCGCTTCGCTTCGGAAACATTAAATTTTATTATTGATAGCTGAGTCGCGCGATGTTACCCGCGGTTATTGTCGTACCGCGGTTGACACCGCGGGATGAAGCTAGTCTTTAAAAAAGTAGCCTAAGTTACTCCTTATATCATCAGCTACCTATCAGTGAGTCTCGTCAAAATCGGTCCAGCCGTTCCAGAGATTAGCCGGAACAAAGAGACCGACAGACAAAAATTGTAAAAAATGTTATTTTGGTGTATGTACCGTATATATATTCATATGCATGTAGTAAAAAGCGATTATTTCAATATTACAAACAGACATTCCATTTTTGTTTATATGTATAGATTACTTTATTCTATCATCAATCGTTTTCGCAGCGCACGCGATGTAAAGAATATCTTAGGTAATTTTTTTACACCTTGGGTTACATTATTGGAGTTTTAGTAAGGATCCCTAATTTTTTTCAAAAACGATTACAGCCTATGTCACTCAGGGATAGTGTAGCTTCCAAACAGTGAAAGAATTTTTCAAATCGGTTCAGTAGTTTAGGATCCTATTCAATACTAACAAACAAACAAATCTTTCCTCTTTATAATATTAAGTATCACCAATTTATAAAATACAATCACCAACACATATAAAATCGCAGATGTTTTTTGAATAAATTGCTCAATTGTTTCGCTTTCATTTTCAATCAGGTTACAATATAAGCTTCGAACAGTCGACGAAACTTCGACAATATGGTAGGTACATAATATTGTGTGTTGTGTGTAATATGTCATATTTTTTGTTTAATTCCAGGAATAGATTTCAAACAAAAAATAATAAACTTGGACGGTGTACCTATTAAACTTCAGATATGGGATACCGCAGGTCAAGAGAGGTTCCGCACACTGACCACTGCTTATTACCGTGGAGCTATGGGGATTATACTCATGTACGATATTACCAATTTGGAGTCGTTCAACCATTTGTCATATTGGCTCAGGAATATACAAGAGGTATGAGCAAAATTTTTTGAGAACAAAAAAACACGTTCGTTTTTGCAAGATTTAAAATAATTATCAAAGTAGAGGAAAACGTGAGAAGTTTTTTGTTAACAAGCTTAAATAATCTTATTTGTAAGTGCAAAGTTTCAAATTACCATAATTATTTCATAAATCCTAATACAAAATAACTATATCGACTAGTATCTCAGCCAGGGCCGGATTTAGAGGTCTGGAGGCCTTGGGGCAACAGAGGAGCTGAGGCTTTATTTTCCAAATAAAATGAATTTTTTTCAGTCGAGTTTTCAAATAAATAATTTATTGTGAAACCACGTAGATTCTCTTAATATTTAACAAACATACATAAATATAACCGGAGACAAGAATTATTTGAAATTAAATTTTAGTGTTAACGTTAACGTTAAGTAAAACAGCGAAAAAAAAAGATAGTCGAATGAGAAGGAAAATATGTTGTATGTTTACTTGTCGGAATTGGAAAGATTTTTTTCAAAGTCTCTATTGTGGGGGCCCTACGTTTGTGGAGGCCACGGGGCTTTCGCCCCGGTTGCCCTCCCCTAAATCCGGCCCTAGAGATGAGAGATGAGATTCTCACAAATCATTAAAGTAGCCAAGGAGCGTTTTAAAATAAAGAATAAATGTTTTCTCGCTATTACGGGTCCGAAAAATAATTTGGGTATAAATTAATCAAGAAGTATTTTTAAGTCACCACTACTATGGTTTTTAACCCCAGGTATATTGAAACGCACCTTCCTTATCGCCCATTTTGATTACGGGTTGAGAGGGTAGGCCGAAAATAGTGGAACGGTGAAAAACGACAACTTTTTGCAGTGATTTTTGAGGCACTTCGTGATCATCTAGGAAACTGAAACTTTCCTAAAGTTACATAATAAAAATTCATATATTTATAATAAACAATAAATTAATAGTGATATATTTTTTTCGGTAGATAATATTCCAGAAATTTATCTGCATTTATCCTCTTTATTTTTATTTTGATCATTACTTCATAAAAACACAAAAAATGCCACAGGCTTTGAGAGAAATAAACAGAGCAGTGTCTCAGCACTCTAACAAATTTTCGCATTTAAAAAAGAAGGACGGTCTTTATTTAATCTTGATCTAATGCTTGGGTATTCGTCGTTTCTGATAATTAAACTCAAATAAATCTCATTCCAGTACGCGTCTCCAGATGTCATTAAGGTGCTGGTGGGCAACAAATGCGACGTACACGAAAATCACAGAGCCGTTCCCAAGGATAGAGGTCAAAAGGTATTGTTTCGTATATTTAATTGCGAAGTCCAGCGATTCCCTCTTCATACATATGTAATATAGATACATAGAAGCGATTGGCAACCTGTGGTACGTATACCCCTGGAAAAACACTTGAGGGTAATTCCAATTGAGGTCCAATTAAGGGTAAATGAAATATGCTATAATACAGTATTATGTCTACAAATACATGGTAGGACCTTTTGTTAACTGGTAGAAGAACCTCTTGTGAGTCCGCACGGGTACCACCACCCCGCCTATTTCTGCCGTGAAGCAGTAATGCGTTTTGGCTTGAAAGGTGGGACAGCCGTTGTAACTATACTGCGTCCTTAGAACTTATATCTCAAGGTGGGTGGCGCATTTACGTTGTAGATGTCTATGGGCTCCGGCAACCACTTAACACCAGGTGGGCTGTGAGCTCGTCCACCCATATAAGCAATTAAAAAAAATGTACTTTAAAATTATAGTTAAAGTGTAACTTTGCTGTTTACTTACTGATGTGCTTTTTTTATGATTGAAAGATTACTGGTGGCCCAGAGGCCTTTCCAGCTTCACCAGAACAGGTGGGCGAGCAAAGGCTCAGCCAGGAGACTGATGTGCTAATCTGTCAACGTCGGTTTGGTTAAATACAGTATATTTTTCAGTTTGTTTCTGTCAAGAGAAACAAGACGCTCTTTTAGGAGTAGGTATAGAGTTATGAGGGCTGACGTCTTCATACGTAGCTCGTAGGGGGGCGCAAAATTTCATTAAGGGGTACGGGAAACGAAAAAGTTTGGGAAGCACTGATATAGAGCAAAGACACAAGAATACATTGTGGTTGCTTTGTTGGCAGCCTGTTAACAATCTGACGTTGGTGTAAATAACTTTTGATTTCGCAATAACATTTAGGGAAGCTGAGTTAAATCTATTCTAAGCTGTTAACTTCTACGATCTTTCGGATACCTAATGTAATTTCGCTTTATGTTGAATGAGAGTATTGTTTCAAAGCTTGTCTTTAAGGTTAGTTAATCACGATGCCACTGATTATGATCTTAGTATTTCATTTTCTCATCGTAACCGAAGGTTGCCGGTTTTAATAAGTTCTATTATACTATTACGAAGTACTTAATTGATAAGTAAATAATGAAGACAACACATTTTTTTTTATTTTATTGCTTTGTTGGATGGACGAGCTCACAGCCCAGCTGGTGTTAAGTGGTTACTGGAGCCCATAGACATATACAACGTAAATGCGCCACCCACCTTAAGATATAAGTTCTAAGATCTCAGTATAGTTACAACGGCTGCCCTACCCTTCAGACCGAAACGCATTACTGCTTCACGGCAGAAATAGGCATATTGATATCTATGTATTCTTATGACTACATAAGTTACCAATTTACCAAATAAGTACGAAAGCAACTAGTGTTAACTGTTTCTGCTTTGTATTTGTATATATTACTCATTTTAAATCTATGTATTTCCATAATATGTGTTTCCAGATTGCGGATGACTTCGATATGCCGTTTTTCGAAGTGTCTTGTAAGAACAACATAAATATAGAGGAGGCTTTCTTGACGTTGGCCAGAAAGATCAGAGAGTACCGGGAGACGAAGGTCAGTCGATTTGTAATATTATTGCTTACCTTAAATTAATTAATTAATTAATTAATAACTTACTAGCTGACCCGGCAAACGTTGTTTTGCCATATATAAGATTTGTAGGGAATTTCTAGTGTAGAAAAAAAAACTAACTTATTGTAAGTATGTAAGGATGTGGTAAATTAGTGAAAGAGGGACATGATGGAGAAAGAGATAAGGGAATATAAAAAATAACAAAACCTTATTCAACCACATAATGCCTCAATACAACAACAAAAAATTTTCCAAAAATTAAAATATTAACCCTTATAAAATATAAACCCTTATTACGTAGAGGTATGAAAAATAGATAGTAGCCGATTCTCAGACCTACTGAACATGCATATGCAAATTTCACAAAAATCGGTCAAACCGTTTCAGAGGAGTATGGTAACTAACATTGCGACACGAGAATATTATATGTAAGATTATTTAAGTGCGTATTTGTACAAAAGTCTTACATCAAATTGTGTCATTTAGTATTGGATTGGACGTTTAGAATACACACAGCTTAGTACTGTTCAACCTATTTGTTTGAAGGGTGGAACACCCAAAATATTTGTATTGACTAATGAGACTTCGGCAGTCTGTCTCAAGGTTGAGGTCGGATTCGCATTGCGACGTCGATAGCCACTTTACATTAGATTACACTCTATAAAGATGTGTACTAAAACTTTTAGAATTAACGTGAATGCTTAATTTGAAAATTTTGCTAGTTAGAAAAATGCAAAGTAATGTTCTACAAAATGTTGTCTTTTAGATCACTTATAGGTACATTCTTTTTAAATAAATTGGTAATATAATTGGAAATAAATTGTAATACTGGTGGTAGGACCTCTTGTGAGTCCGCACGGGTAGGTACCACCGCCCTGCCTATTTCTGCCGTGAAGCAGTAATGTGTTTCGGCCTGAAAAGTATTGTTTCGTATATTTCATTGCGGAGCTCAGAGATTCCCTCCTCTTTATACGTATGATATAGACAGAAGCGATTGGCAGCCTGTGGTACGTATACGCCTGGGAAAACGCTTGAGGGTAATTCCAATTGAGGGTAAATGAAATATGCTATAATACAGTATTATATCTACAAATACATGGTAGGATCTTTTGTTTACTGGTGGTAGGACCTCTTGTGAGTCCGCACGGGTGTCACCAACTCGCCTATTTCTGCCATGAAGCAGTAATGCGTTTTGGCTTGATGGTTGGGGCAGCCGTTGCACCTATACTGAGATCTTAGAACTTATATCTCAAGGTGGGTGGCGCATTTACGTTGTAGATGTCTATGGGCTCCAGTAGCCACTTAACACCAGGTGGGCTGTGAGCTCGTCCACCCATCTAAGCAATAAAAAAAAACATCATTGATCGACATTCTTAGTGTTCAACGATTTCTTTTACAGGCTGACGCATTTGAATTGAAGGAAAGAGACAACGTCGTCAAGCCTTCGGTTTCTGAAACTGACGCATCGAAATGCATTTGTTAGCCTATTGTAGTTGTTCACGGTAGCTGATTCTTGTCTGATTCCAACGCAGTCGTGTTCACATGTTAAATTTTCATCTCCTACATATTTACGTTACCGAGTACTCGAAGATTGCGCAAAGAGTTGAATATAGAGCAATTTTTTTAAATAAAATATCGAAAATTTAAATGTCATCATTGTTACCGTCTACTTTAAAAAACATAATCGAGGTGCTTAATTGAAAAAAAAAACATGCTTACTTGCGTTTTGTTGACAGTAGTTTTGCCTTACGTAGGCATAGGTATTATTACGTATATATATTTATTTAATACTGAGCAATACAAGAAACAACTAGAATGCCTATTAAAGAAGCGAGACGCATGCAATAAATAAATTATTCTAAATTATCATTTAACTTTCCAGGCAATTAGCTATTGATGGTGCTAAAGAAGATTCAAATTAATAGACGTTGTTGGATATTAAAACATTCTCATAGAGTAGGTTTTAACTACTTGAAACAAGGTTTTTAAGTTTGAGTATGTTTTTTATGCATATTCACTCTTTCCTCGGTCATTTGTGGTCAGTTTTAGATATAAATATTTTTTTTCGGTTATAATAATAGAATTTCGGTGTCCCGTTGTTAAGTTTAATTTATATATTTAACTCTTGAAGTAATTTTTCAATTGTTATTTTATATAGTTCATATTGGTTTCTAAAAAATCTATTGTGTAAAGTTTTTCATCGGGCATTTTTTGTGTGGCATTAGATGGCAAAATTGATTCACGGTCATATGTCGTGATAACCGGAGACTGTAGACCTTACGACGTGTTTGCAATCGCCCAATATAAGATATTGTACCAAATCCCAAGTAGGCCGCAAGAAGGATGTCCTATCCTAATGTAAAAATAGGGAAGGTGTTGGTACAAAACAGCTACTGATGCACAATAATAACATTAGTATTATACTACCAGAACTAATTTGTCATAGTCGAATTTTTATTGAATGCATTTTACAAAAATCAAACCCGCAAAATTATAATTTGCGTAATTACTGGTGGTAGGACCTCTTGTGAGTCCGCACGGGTAGGTACCACCACCCTGCCTATTTCTGCCGTGAAGCAGTAATGCGTTTCGGTTTCAAGGGCGGGGCAGTCGTTGTAATTATACTGAGACCTTAGAACTTATATCTCAAGGTGGGTGGCGCATTTACGTTGTAGATATCTATGGGCTCCAGTAATCACTTAACACCAGGTGGAGCTCGTCCAATTCTAGTTTTACAGATAGTTCGAAACATATTCCAAGCGAAAGAAATTAGGAGAATTGCTCTAGATGTTACCGTCATCATTACTATATTGTAAAAGAATTCAAAAAGCGTTGAGACGTGAAGAAATCAATGATCTGGCATGTGGACACGATCTGTTTATATTAGATTATATGATATTTATAGACGGGCCATTTCATTTAACAACAAGACAAGTTGGGGCCGCTGGATTGTTTAATGGGTTGAGAGTTTTATAGAATATGATCTTGTTGATTTTTGAAATGGACAAGCTTGGAAGGGAGTGACTATATGTACCTAATCAATATTGTATCTTAATAAAGTGTTTGGTAATCGAAAGATAAAGAGAAACACATAGAGGGAATGTCAAATAGTATTCTGTGGGCCTAAAGTCAACATTTAGTCACTGGTTTCCAAATTTTACTAGATTACCCTCTTATTGTAGCGAAATAGTCGTTCGATCGAGCATAATCAGAGACTGCAAATACATAATCCAATACTGATTTAGGCTTTCAATCCACGAGCACTAGGAATTAGCCTAGCCGTATATATCCGTTTCAGTCTGGTAAGTATCTTATCTCATTCTAACGCGAGTGTTGGAAGAGCATAAATGATTCGTCAAGATGCGAACATTGTGCACAGTATAACAGAAATACTTAGGCGTGCAATATGCTGCCAGTGTTAGTTATGACTAGAGGTCGGAGTAGGTAGATTGATTTAAGGTCGTTGACGTCAAACGTAGAGGATAATATGGATATGCCTCCAAAATACCGGAACTTCATATTTATTGTGATATTTGTTCCGGAATTTTGAAATTAGCATGAATATATAATATTAATCTACGCTACCAGTGCTAGCTAATGGTAAAAGAAATCAGCATTTTATTTTATACAAAAACACCTTGGAATAGTTACACCGTATTTTGTCCCTTTCTGTTGAATTAGAAATGACGCTTGTCAGTATGAGACAAAACTTAGACAGGGCTTTTTGTTACTTTATCTTATAAATATAGAAATTGTATCCGATGAGGATTAAAAATATATTGTTTCAATTAAAAAAAAAATATTATGGATAAAATGGCATGTCCATATTATATTATAATATTTTGACGCAAGTATATAAAATCAATCTACCTACTCCGACTACTGGTAATGACCGAAACAATCAAACTGTTAGAAGAGGGTACAATTTATACTTTTTTTTCGTAAGAGGGTAGTTAATTATTAGCTGCTTTTCGCATGGGTGTGCTGTTCGCGCTTAACAACTGTCGCAATTTCTGAACGCACCGTTTTTTGTATGTAATACGAAGAAAAATATAATAACTTTAAATACCTACTTAATATGTATCGTCATTTTGAGATACTTCACAATTTGATTTTGTTTTAATGAATTTGTGACAAAAAGTTTCCTGAATGAAATATTTATCCCTTTGGAAATTTCAATTTATAATACTGGTAACATTCAAATTTCATGATTTTAATTACCAATGATGGTACAATCTATTTCTAAATGATGATAAGACTGACGGTCAGCGCTACACAGCATCGCATTTAAAGGTGTAGTTTGCTCAATTAATAATTCCGCTGTGGTAAATATTTCTGCAGATTTACGAAAGTACCTCCAAAATGATTCGTAGGTTAACGATTTATTGCCTATGCAATTCAACCAATTTGCTCAGCAAAATAGTATATTACTGTAGATTCTTATAAAAAAAAGAAAACGCACGTTATCAAACGAATTTAAGATATTGTAATGTGTATTTATTAAATTTGTGATAGACCGCATTTGATATTATTCTCAATTGACTTGAAATATTATGAAATGAAATATTGAAAAAAAAGGCAGCCAAATAAATACAGTTTTTCATTTTACATTCAACGTTCAATAGTGAATAATTAATATAATTTTTTTTTTGCCTGAATCAATACCACCTATATGCATGCTGCATAATAGAACAGTGTTAAACACACTAATTAGTTTATTGCCAAATGATGGTTTTGAACTGAAGATTTTGGTTTAATCTGTGAAGTCTTCATGTTATTGAATAACTGATACCTACAAGGTTTCAATAAAGGAGTTTTAATGCAAAACATAATAATGAAGTAGAATCTTAAAAAACTAGGAAGTTTGTATACCATTCATCTTACTACACACAAAATTCATTATAAATAATTATTAAAGCTAGAAGACTCAATTGTTTAAATTTTTACTTAAAAAAACCATTCAGAAACTAATATTATCTATGATATAAAAATATCTGTCATAAGTTTCCAATTTTATTAATACATAGGTATTTGGTAACAATTTTACACTAGCACAACTTATCTAAAACTAGATCTTCATAGTATACTATGTATAATAAAGTTTTATAAAACACAATATCTTTTATTTCAATGAGCAATGCTGTTTTTGCGGAATTAACTAGACATTTAAAAAAAAAAAACTTTAATTTTCTGTGTCGAATTATGAAGTAAAATATATTTTCCGAATTATTTATTTACTGCAATAGTATTGTGAGCGTTCAGAAATAGAAAAAAAGTTGATAAATATATGCCAATATTTATTTTAATAATTCTTACATACCTTAATTTATTATTATTTTATAACGACGCCATTATATATGGCCATTTTTTAATATATTTCATTAGTAATTTCTTCAGTCAAAAAGCATAAATTAAGGAAATATTATAATACTTTTCTAAAAATTGAGACCCTTTCTTTTTTTTTTAACGCAAACGCGTCCATTTACCGGCGGATCGACTTTTGTAGTTTCGCGTTTGACAGAATGGTTGACTGCAAAATGGTTTTGATCCTCCGTAGTAGGTGTCATAATTTCTTGTTTAATTTGGATCGTTTGTAACTCACTCTCGCTGGAACATTCAGCTTTTCTGTAAATTTCAATAGCTTTATTATTTATTTTGTTACTCAATTTATAAGGTCTATACGTTTTATTGTGTGGAAAAAGCCTGTGAGGCTTGGGCTAAGGCTTGATTGATTCATTGGTAGAGATTAATTATTTGGAACTAGCTGAACCGGCAGACTTCGTTGTGCCTCAAAAAAAAGGAATCCCTCCGACGGGGGACACAACAAAGGAAAAACAAAATTTTTATTTTTATTTCATTCCGCGCATATTCATATTTATTTAACTTTTAAACCTTCTCTGGACTTCCACAAATAATTCAAGACCAAAATTAGCCAAATCGATCCAGCGGTTCTCGAGTTTTAGCGAGACTAACGAACAGCAATTCTTTTTTATATATATAAATGAGGCTGGAAAGGACTTAAGCTAATACGCAAATGGAGCAACAAATGTCTCTATGGTAACCAGGAGATGGGCCTAGAAAATATAGTCATCCAAAAACACAATGAACAGATGACTTGAAGACGGGCAGAGCAGAAGGAGGCCTATGGAAATTCATTATATTATAATTTAATTTGTTAAAATTTTACTTTAATTGTTAAATATGTACAAATTTTTGGATTAAAGCATTATTAATATTATATCTGCTACTAGATCTAGTATCGTAAATATTTATTTTAAACTGAAATGCTAACGATTTCAAAAGAAATGTTCGCTAATGAAATTTCAGTTTTTTTTCTTACCAAGCTGATAGCCTTGAGAGGCTATTTCAGCGTAACCTTAACTAGTAGATGAGCTCGCGGGGTTCAAACCTAATGACGTTATTAACACGAACCCTAGCAAGAGCCGTGCTTCGCAGAATCTACCACCGGATCGGAAACGCGACCCACTGAGAATATCCGGCGAGTAACTCAGTGGGCTGTGTCTATGGGTTAATTTACTTCGACGGGAACGATGACCGGTGCTTGAAGTACCCAAAAGCACCGTTAGAGGATCGGGAGAATCCGAAATGACGTGTTTTGGGCGACGTCGACTGCTTTCCATTCTGTCCGCAGGATCGGGAATGGAAATTTCAGTGACTATGTAAACTATCTTATATCTTCAATTGCAATTTTCTTTGAAACTTACATAGGTTGTTTGGGCAATACTATTGTCTTCTGTAAAATACTACTGGGTATTGCAGATCCCCCGAAATGGGTTTCATACATGTTGTGAGTGTTCATGTGAAGTTCATCATTGAATGGCTCAGTTTTTTTGTGTTCTAAAATCAAACACATTGTTTTTAAAAAAAAATCAATTACAATACATTTAACTGTATAACTAAACAGAGAAATTTCTACATCTAAATAAATTAATACCTAAAGTTCAATGTATATCGTTGTATTTGTTTGATAAACATAATAGAGTCAGGATAGTCTATTTATGCTGCAAAGAAATCAGACTTTTCAGTCTGAGGGGATGAATAGTTGTTATCCTTTATAACTGGGTTTCGATTCTATGTCTCATTCACGTTATGTTGTCTATAGGCTTAAGTAAGCCTGGCGTTAGCTTGTTACTGTAAGCCGTGAATTTGTTCATCTCTCCTTGCTATAAAATAAATAAAACAATATTATGGTCAGATATTAACAGACACAGTAACTAACAGGTACTGAAAAACAAACCACTGGAAAAGTATTCGGGGATAAAAAAACATATTTCTAAAGTGGATAAATTAAAAAATTATACAATAAACGTGTTTGCTAAATGATCAAACAACAGAATTGAAGCTACAAAAGATTTTATTTTAAATATTGATTTGTGACTTTCTCCTGGCTTGTGACTTTTGTTCCCAAAAAGTTAAGAAATTGTTTGTTCCCTTAATTTATTCTCTTAGTGTATTTAAGTTCCTTTTTTGCAGTCACAGCTTGTGAATGTATAATACTAACTCAAGAGGTGACGATTGATTTCTTATTCAATATGACTGCAGTACAGACATAGTTCAGTCATCATACTTGGAATGATGATAGACTATTGTTCGATATTATTAATTACTAGTTCCTTCATTTTCAGTAAATTGTACAGTTTGACTTTTCCACTACTAAATTTATTTTCTATCTCTACTCTATTAATAGTGCTTCACCCTAGAAAATGCCTTGTGTTCATAAATTTAATGTGAAATATGAAAATTAAAGTGCAAATTTTTTAATACAACAGTTACAAAGAGAAAAGAGCATAAGCCTGTAATAAATAAACAATTTTTATAAATTAACCTTAGATTTTTTTATATAATAAATTGTATTAAATATTGCAGTGCACCTTGAAAAATACCTGAAACTCTTAGGTTATTTTGTCCCTGATAGCCCCTTTTGGTATTTACTCACTGTGTTGAATTTCACCAAACTTTGTTTTATATGCAGTCAGCTCTTTATCTTTCTTGTTCAAGGTGTTCCTTAATATTGTTTGACTCATCCACAGATCATTGATTATCTTCAGTAGGTTTTGAGTAATTTTCTGGAACATCTGTAATTTAATGGTTTAAATTTTCAATAAAATTGCATCAATACTGATATTTTTTTTTATATTTTTTTTATTGCCTAGATGTGTGGATTAATTCACAGCCCACCTGGTGTTAAGTGGTTACTGGAACCCATAGACCTCTACAACGTAAACACACACACACGCCACACATCTTGAGATATAACTTGTAAGGTCTCAGTATAGTTACAACGGCTGCCCCACCCTTCAAACTGAAACGCATTACTGCTTCACGGCAGAAATAGGCGGGGGGGGGGGGGCTACCTACCCGTGTGGACTCACAAGAGGTCCCTACCACCAGTAACAATTATCAAAATTCTCATTTTCTTCTATGATGTCTTTCAGTCACTTTTATGTAGAAGGATCCTAAACAGACTGTAGTCAAGTCTTCGTTAGTAGCCAAAATTCTTCATTGTGGATATTGATCATCAAAAAAATTTCACTAATTAATGTCTTTATTTATGTATCTATCACTCACTGCAAAACTTAAATTATTCATTAGCCAGATAAAGACAGATCAGATAGTAATATATTATTGTAATAAGTTTTATTACATTATAAATATTTTACTTATTTAGAAAAGGAGATACAAAATAGATTCTTTCTATCATACATACCATTTCATCTGATACTCTGGAAAGTCTACATTTTAATTTAAATCGAAATCCACAAGACATTACTAAAGTTATAGATAAATTCCTCTTTTCATTTTCTTCAAAAACATTAACTTTTTTTAGATTCTCAGGTTGTACCAATAGTTTAATTCCATCCTGCAACAGCTGCGAATCATTTTCGAATTCTATTCCATCATTGCTTTCCTATGTTGATAAAAGAATTATTATTATTAGGGCTATTATTACCTGTATGTAGCTGTACAATTTTAGTGGAGTTTTAGAATAATACTACTATTGTAATACATATATACTAAATAAAATACGATTATTATTTAGTTTTCAAGCATGAATGCGTGATCTCTAAACTTCATTCAGCGGATCAAAATGAGCATTTCAGTGGGAAAGTAATTTTGTTCTGTTTTCTTAAAATTTTAATTATGTTAGAATTTAATACAAATTAAAGTAAGCTCTAACTGTTTCTGTACTTTGGTTACCTTTAGTTGCGTGAGAAAAGTTCTTTCAGTGAAATAAACATGCCATAAATAGATAAAATCTGTAATGAAGATTTCATATCCATTTTCTTTGTTGAATTGAATAGCATAGGCTGTTGGTGACTCCTGCAGTAATTTCCACATTATCGACAGTTAATATTTAATAAGCTGTAATCGTTGTAAAATTTGTACCATTGTTAAATCGTTTTTATTTCATTTTGTATTCATAGTCCAGTTCACGTTCACACTAATTTTATGACATTGACTTAAGTGTTTAATCCATGACATTGACAGTAGGTTTTTTTAAAGGGGTTTTATAACCTGGTAATTAGAACTTTTAAGTCATGTATTATTTTAATTTATATTCTTATTCTTATGAAAAATGATAATATGGAGTGAAATAAAATGAAATGAGATACAATATTAAAATAATAGATTTTTAAAGTTACTGTTTTATGTTAATGGACATTTTTGACACGCAGTTTATGTATAGTTGGCAATAAATTCTAAATTAAATTTATTCTAAAAACGTAATTCCATTTTCAAATGCCGTGATTTGCGAAGTTCATATTAACTTAATATTTAAGTATCATTCAGTGTTTTGCTTTAACTTCAATTTTATCTTTTTCATCAATATGGACACAAAAAAAATACATGTAAAGAAGTAATACGAGTTCTGGGAGCAATGCCGCACATTGACATGTATGAAGTGAGCATTTTAATGCACTATTCATTATTGGTTTGAACGCTTCAGTCATGAAGATTTTGAACTAAAAAATGAACTCCGTGGTCGCTCGAAAAACAATGACAAATTAAAGGTGATAGTGGAAACTGACGATACTCAATTGGACGATACTATGCTGGGTTAGTAGCAGCCTTCAACGCTAGCATCAAAACAATACTAATCCATTTGCGTCAAATTGTTAAAGAAAAAAAAACTTTATAAGTGGGTTCCGTATGAACTGAACGATCGCCAGCGTGACGAAAGCGTTAAGGTTGTGTTGTGTTGCATAACAGATACAGAAACAAAAGGGATTTTGAACCGGGATAAAAAATGGATTCTTTTTGGTTAGGTCTTGGTTCTCATTATGCTTAAAGACAATGGTAGTCAACAATTTGGCATTGTTAACGTTCATGAGTGACGGCAAACACAGTTGGGTTGTATGCTCGTTTGCCTACAAAGTCAATAAATAAACAATAACAACAAATAAGTCAATAAAGTCAATAATTATACAATAACAACAACTTAAACGATAACTTACCCATAAAAAAGTCATGCTCACTGTTTAGTAATATAATGTCTATTATGTAATTCATCACAGCTTCGTTTAAATAGCACCAGCATTATTGCCGATGTGTACTGTGAGGATCTGGACACAATGGAGAAATTCGTGATTCTCCAGCCAGCCTGGTTTAATCACTCGTTCCCATACATGACAACGCTAGTCCTTATCCGGTACAAAAGACAGTCCCTGAGATTTAAAAGTTAGGATTGGAAGTTTTGCGTCATTCATCGTAATTACCAGACCTTGCGCCGACAGACTTCTATCTACTGTTTCCAAAGTTTGGACAACTTGGGTAGGAAAAAACTTCAATACCCGAGAAGTAAAAAATGCCTTTCAAGAGTTTATTGGGTCCCATACCTACGTATGACTTCTTCAAGAACAGCATTGAAAAATTATCTCGCGTTGATACTTTTTTTTTTTTTTTTTTATTTTTTTATTATTGAATGATTACTGGTGGCCCGGAGGCCTTTCCAGTTTCACCAGGACAGGTGGGCGAGCAAAGGCTCAGCCAGGAGGGGTGGGATTTGCTAACAGCTGCCCGAGCGCCTCCGAAGGAGACCTAACAACTCAAGAGTAGCTGCTTCGCGAATGAATCTACTACCAGATCGGAATCGCGACCCGCTGAGAAGATCCGGCGAGAAACTCAGCGGGCTGATGCATGGGTTAGGTTGTACGTCGACCTCTTTGTCGAGTTCGACGAGTACGGTTACCGGGGTCCCTAAGCCTGCCCCTAGTATTAGAGCTGAAGGCATCTAATGCAAAGGTTATTGGATCTGATGGATCCGTAAGGAAGTGTCTAGGGCGTCGACGGTGACTGGCTCCTGCATGATCAGGATTCGGGGAGTAGTCAGCGGCGGCAACGATAAGGCGATTATCANGGCAAATGTTCCACGAACACAAAAATAACTAAAACAAAACAAATAAAAGCTTCCAGGAAACACACTTGGTCGGCAGATGTATCACGAACACAGGCCGCGCGAACAATGGCCGGGCTAACAAAAGCCGGGCGAACAAAGACCGGGCGATCGAGTGGACGATGAGCACGTCCGCACGTGACGGGTGCCTCTATCGGAATGCGTTGATACTATGGGTGCATCACTACATAGTATAAAACAAAGTCGCTTTCTCTGTCCCTATGTATGCTTAAATCTTTAAACTTACGCAACGGATTTTGATGCGGTTTTTTTAATAGATAAAGTGATTGAAGAGGAAGGTTTATATATATATTAAAATCCATTAAATAGTGGAGAAATCAATAATAAATTATAGTTTTTGAAGCGATGCGAGGGCGGGTCGCTAGTATTTTGATATAAAGAAATTATTTTTGTTTTAAAAAAAAATTACTTTGACTTTATGTATAGGAAACTAGTTAACTTTATAGTTAAATTTTACTAACTAAGATAATTTATCGAAATATGTTCTTTTATGGCTTTGGTATGTGGACAAACCCACGGCCCATCTAATGTTTATTGGCTACCGCAGCTGGTAGACACCAACTAATTACATATCACCATCCACCTTGAAACATGAGTTCAAATTTTCAGTTTTATAGTGCAACGTTTGCCCCACTCTTCAAACTGAAATGTATACTACCTGCTTCACGGCAGAAATATGCGGGGTAGTGGTCCTAAGCCGTGGGGGATCTCACAAGATGCCCCACTCCAAATAAAAACCTATCAACCTTCATATCGTGTATATGTATGAGCAAGAGAGAGATTCAGGTCTGTGCAGCTGTGTAATAAAAAAAAAGTATTATATATTTTTGTAGGTCAAAAGTATTGTGAAAAACGAAATTCGGGCATATCGCGAGAATGAGATATCATTTTTTTGTTAATCCCATATTTCCACGACTATCAAGGCAACGCATTACGTATGTAAATAAAGTAATTTGTCACGAGTCAGGGTAGATGTGCCGCTATTCCCGTGTAATGACAACCCTTGTGGATTACGAATCAATTTTTATTTCGGGAACGTTCTGGAATATGGTACCTAATTTAAAACGTATTTTAATTTGAAGCTTTCGAAATCAGACTTCCTGTTTGTATGTGTGTATTGTGTGTATTGTGGTTACTGTATTGTTTGATACGGAAAATCATATTGCAGTTTGATTTTGAATCTTACGAAGGCCGTTAATCTTCCGTAGGGACTATCGGGTACCGGGTACGGGGGCGTCCGGTGCTCGGTTGTCGGTCCGGTGGTGAAGCGGCACAAGATGGCTCCTGTGCGCCGCTCGTGTCTCGCGCGGCTTTTTTAAGGCAAGAAGAGGAGGACTTCGATCTTCCTCTTCTCCCTCGTCTTCTCTGGAGGCGCCGGAGTCTGACCTAACCCGGTCTGTTACCCCCCTAGACCGGTTGTCGGTAAACGTATTCCCCAGCGTTAAAAAAGGGGCACAGCTTATTATATACCCGTTGACTACCGCTTATGTCTTTTCTAACCTTAAAACGAACTTGCGCGAAATTTTTGTTTATTACGTGATATCTTGAGCGCACCAACATAGTTATTATTCATTTAGCAATAATAACGAAACGAAAAAATTGTGAAAACGAGCAGCTGAAGTATTTTCAAACGTCGCTTATTATACCTAGTCAGGTCATAAGTATTGTCATACAGTAAAAACTTTTCTTTTAGAATGCTGGCCACAAAAAAGTTTATTGAATTCGAATTTGGAATTGTTCATGAAAATAAAAAAGGTATACTTTTAGAATTTTACTCATTTTTAAATATGGAGTGGACGCTTAAAGAAGACCGTGTTGCAGTTATTGCGTTACATCGTTGCGGTTACGCGCCAACTCAAATTTTTAACATACTGAAAATTTTGAATATAACCAAAAGATTCGTTTATCGTACCATCAAACGATACAATGAAGACTCTAGTGTAGATGATAGGTCAAGAAGTGGTCGCCCTCGGTCTGTTAGGACTCCAGCAGTGATAAAAGCTGTGAAGGCGCGAATTCAAAGAAATCCCAAACGTAAGCAGAAACTGTTGGCCCTTCAGATGGGGTTAAGCAGAACCACGGTGAAAAGGGTGTTAAATGAAGACTTAGGGCTTCGGGCATATCGAAGAAAAACAGGACATCGTTTGAATGCTCGTCTAATGGACCTGAGACTGAAGAGATGCCGCGCTTTGTTGAAGCGGTACGCGGGAAAAAAATATCGGGAAATTCTTTTTTCGGATGAAAAAATTTTTACCGTAGAAGAGAGCTACAACAAACAAAATGATAAGGTGTACGCACACAGTAGTGAAGAAGCGAGCAACCGTATTCCGCGTGTCCAACGAGGTCATTTTCCATCCTCGCTCATGGTATGGTTGGGAGTTTCTTATTGGGGCTTAACAGAGGTACATTTTTGTGAGAAAGGTGTAAAAACGAATGCAGTTGTGTATCAAAATACAGTCCTGACGAACCTTGTGGAACCTGTTTCTCATACCATGTTCAATAACAGGCACTGGGTATTCCAACAAGATTCGGCGCCAGCTCATAGAGCGAAGAGCACACAAGACTGGCTGGCGGCGCGTGAAATCGACTTCATCCGGCACGAAGACTGGCCCTCCTCCAGTCCAGATTTGAATCCGTTAGATTACAAGATATGGCAACACTTGGAGGAAAAGGCGTGCTCAAAGCCTCATCCCAATTTGGAGTCACTCAAGACATCCTTGATTAAGGTAGCCGCCGATATTGACATGGACCTCGTTCGTGCTGCGATAGACGACTGGCCGCGCAGATTGAAGGCCTGTATTCAAAATCACGGAGGTCATTTTGAATAAACTTTAGTGTCATAAGAATCTATGTTTTGTTAAGTTCATTTTGGTATATGAATGGTTACATAATGAATAAACTTGTTTCAATTATTTTACATTTAACATGTGACAGAATTTATGACTTGACTAGGTATATACCCTTGTCATATAATCCGTTTTTTCTTTCCATATAAATCCAGAAAAATCTCATTAGCCCGACGCTATGT